CAGGACCTTTGCCACTCACCATGAATGTGTATGTGGTACAAGGAATCAGGTCTTTTATCACTTTAATGGGTTTACCAACAGTAGTTTCTTTCACAATACCGGAATTCATTTCCAGAATATAGTTGTATTTTACTATAGGACCTCTCCTGTCACCGCAAGGAATTTCTTCCCATATGAACTTCAGTGATCGTGCATCCTCTGTTTGGTGGTTAATTATGTTCTGTGGTGGTGCTGTAGCATCTAAAATTAATCAAGGAATAGTTATACAAAATTCACAAATAGTAACTGTGATTTTTTTTCTTTTCAAATATGCTCATCTAACAGGCTTTTTGTTTTAATCTAGAAGTACTAACCTGCGAATGTTGTATTGCCAAAACCAGCCCGACCAGGAGTGAATACTGTGTTATCATTCATTCCATCTACTCCAGCTGATACAACTACCTCATAAGTGCTAAATGGTGTAAGTTCCGATAAGGTGTATTCTTTTTTTGTATGATCCACAACACTGACTTCAAATTCATTACTTTGGTTCTGACATTGATCAAGTTGAGTAAGTTTATATTCTATCCTGTACTGAAATATCGGGCAATGAACCACCCCAGGTGCTGACCAAAATATGAACAACATTGTGGGTCTTGATCGTTCATCTTCAACATTAACAGAGACTTCACCGGGAGCTGAAATGACGATCAATACATGTCGATACAAATAAAAATAATCAAACTGATGTTTAAATACTATATCACAATTTTTCAGAGTAAAAAAAGAAAGTAATGTTAAAATATAATAAACTTTGTGCATGAATTTTTTGAATTACAAGCCATGGTCCCCAAATGGTCTTTTCCACTTGACAACCTATGGCCATATCATGCTAAAAATTGTAATATGCTTAAAAATTGTATTAATCTTGTTAAAAATGGTGTGATAACACTGTCTTTTTTCCGTAATTCTGAATCATCAATTGCTACATCTCATACTACAAAATATTGATAATTGTTTTTGAGAAAAAAACTTATTGGCACATTATTTGGATCAAACTATATTCAAGTGTTAAACTAATTGAGCCACCGTATGTAGCTAAACTGTTTAGAATACATTCTATTCTCAAGCTTTTGTGTAATATGCTATGAATAATGATAAATCACAAAAATGTAACATGTAATACCAAATACAAACTTCAAAAAATTCTGCAAATCAATTCAGAAAATTTATTTATATAATTTTCTTCAAATTTTTTGTATGTGTGTGTGTGTGTGTGTATATATACATACATCCGTCTGCAGATATTGGGATTCCTTCCAGTGGATGCTTAGTTTATTTTGTCATTCTGATCGGA